TGAAAAATTTATGTTAACAATTTTTATATTTTTCAATATTTGGGCATAAAATGTGAAGTTGCTTTGTGTGTGTGTGTGTGTGTGTGTGTGTGTGTGTATTAATACATGATGAATAATTAATATCCATAAAAATGTTTCACCTATTGTGCATCTGTGTTATTTCCAAAAGTCAGAGTTCATGTAAAATATAATATACATAAAAAATGTTTCAACAGTGGTACGTCATCAAATTCTCTCACAGATTAACTCTCCATATTAATTTTATATATAATTCAATATACATGTTATCCAAAATAAAATTTGTCATTTTCCTATATTGGAAACTTAGTTGTGGAGTGAACAGGAAATTTTAGAATTGGTTACATTGTATTTGTTGTTTAAACTTACTTAATTTAATTATTGTGTTTTGAAGTAGACTCTTTTTAGGAAGATTTTAAATTTCTTTAATAATTAATAACAATCCTAGTTAAATATCAAGTTAGATCATTGGAATCACTCTTCACACATTTGGGTCAAGTTTAAATAAATATTTCAAAAGAGTTTGAATTGTGCGAAACGCGTTGCATCAATTACAAAAAACTAATTTATTTATGCATTTGATTGCTCTTTTTTCCTAAATCATCATCCACATTATTATCCTTATCATTATTTCCTTCCAGAATTTTCCCATAACCAATAATCCATCTAACAGCAATTAAATGGATAATCAAAAAAAATGGGTTGTTGTAATCTTTGAAGAGGAAGGCGAAGAACCAAGTTGCCAAGTTGTACCGTTATCTTGGGTAAAGACAGACGATGATATAAATCCAACATGTTACTATCCAAAAGCAGCTGCGGCAAAAGTTACCAATCTTATCAAGAATTGTGCACCTCCTAATGAAAATTGGAATGAATTACCCATCGTTAAAATGATCCCTCATACAAGTAAAAATTTGTCGAATAATATTTTTAATTTTATTCAGCCAGTTAATTATGATATTGTATCACACACGGAGTGATGAAGAATAAATAGTAGAAACCAATATTTTTTATTAGAGATTTGAAAAAAAGTGAAAAATTTTACATTCAAATAATCAATATGTTTTTTTTGTTCAGTCATTTCATAGGTTGAATAGTTACAAATATAGCCCTTATTTCAACTGTACCCTTTTGATAAACCTTAAATAATAACAACAAAGCATAATTAAAAGTACAATTTTTTCCCATTTTCAAATCTGTTAAAGGTTATGTTCAAGGTGAAATCCTAGGTCCTCATCAGATTTTCAGTCAAAGTATACGTTGGATCAGTTTTTTTACATTTTTTTCTCACTTATTCAGCGAGATGTCCAGGAGTTTTTATAATTATTCTCCACTTTGTACAAATATAATACTTTCAAATTATTATTCCAATATCTTCAAAATTTTCTAAATTCAGTTCCAACTCCTATTTTTGCAAAATAACCTTCTGAGAGCGATGAATTGCCAAAATAATTTTCAGAATCAATTCACCAACATTAGACGATCCCCCATATGAGGCATTATATACCAAGTGTCTCAACGTACCGAAATCGCTCAGTTTCTACTTGCGTGAAAATTATCAAAATACGTGCTAAAAAAATAAAGCAATGATTTCCACGTAACTTTTCCTTAGCTTTCCGATAACGTGGTCATATATTCGAAAAAATTTTTCCGAGAAAACTTGACTTAAATTCGAGATCATTTTTAAAAAAATCTGTTTTCTCCATCTTGAAAATCCATACATTTGTATGTTAAACTTTCTCTTTCCAATTGAAGAAGCCGGATTTATTAAGGAAGAGTTAGTTATTTACATACTAAGGGTGAGAAGCCGGTATACGGTCGATACGGTCGAGGAGATTGTCAGTGACACTAGCAGTCAGTGCCGCGGCTGTATAGCGGCCAAGGCGATGACTACTTTTCCTGCTAAAAATCTCCACCGCATTTACTCGGCTTCTAAGCCCTTCGTATATAAAAATTTTTTCTGCCTTGGCGCTCATTTTGAGTGGGCCGTCTATCGATTGTAAGCGCTGCTCGACTGTACATCAATGCCTGGTATAGCGGTGTGCTTATTGCCCTTGATGTGTAAATAACTAATCCTTTTATCTTAAAAATGTATGAATCGAATCTTTATTACAATAAAATCTAATTATTATTATTTAATTTCATACTAGTCACGAACGATTATCGAGTAGCCAGAGAGCTGGAAGAAGCTGCTACATATACCACTGATGTCGATGGGTATGTGGAAGAATCTAAAAACAAGGACCTGAGAAAAGATAGGAGGAAAAAAAGAGGGGAATCATCTGAATCTGATGACATGAAGGAAAAAAATAAAAAATCTAAAAGTATTGATGAAAATAATGAAGCAAAAAATTCAGCTTATATCGATGACCATTGGTTAAATAACACCGATTCAGGTACCTACAAAAATTCCTTATTTTATATTGAAGTTTGTTCTAAAAAATTACATTTTACTTCAAAATTTCGTTGAAGAAATGGGATTATGCAAAAAATATATACACATATATGTATATATGAACATGTGTACATATATATGAGGCTGATTCTCTGTGAAGTCGAATGGCCAAAAAAATTTTTTTTTCCATCCCTCTGGCAAATGTATTTACTTTCGACGTAGGCGTAGCCTAGAAAAAGAAAGACTTTTGCCCACTTCTGCGCGCCCGAAAGTGTACCCTCATTGCATGCGCACTGTGTACACTCTCCGGTTTCCCTTGTCCCACAGACCCTCGAGCCTGGGCAAATGCGAGATAGTGGGAAGCGGAGGGGGCGGGGGGAGGTATACTCAGAGACATTCTTTTTTTAAAACAAACTATTAATCAACTTATACCAAATCTGTTATGTTTCGACCTTAATTGCGACACACTTATTTATACCAAATAAATTTCTCACACATATCGGCTTAACCCATTAACGCGCGAAAGTGCAATTTTGTGCATAAATTTTCCGGTGTAAGAAAATTACAGATAAAATTAGAATATTTCCTTCAAAATGCATATCCAGGGGTTTATGGGTATGCTCTTTCAGTGGTGTTATTTTTGCGATAAATAAACATTATCATCGTTTATTTTGCAATTAAAAACAAAAAACGTGATTTTTTAGCTTGAAAATTTTTTTAAGGTCGATTTTCTACCTTGCCCTGCCTTCGGAGGATTCCCATAACACCAGAAATCGTGCACTTTTTTCTGAACCTTCAAAAAATGCGCTGCCGCGATTTTTATCTAGCCCCTATATTTCTAAAGTAGTGAATTTATACCGAGTCCAAAAAACGAAATAAAATGACTTTTTTTATCACTATTTTTTAAATTGTCGCAAGTTAAAAAATAGTATATTTTTATACTTTTAACTTTGACTAATCGTTACCACTCCGAAGTTCTGCTGATTTAAAAAAGCTTCGGAACGGTTACCTAAATTCTAATTTTTGGAGAGTCTCATTCATGCCGTTTAAAAGATGTGCGATGCACGCCCCTCCATATTAGAATAGCTTCATATAAAAGAGAAAGCGTAATAAGTAGGTAAACGAAAAGTTCCCCGTCTAGAGTGATCATTTCTCGCTAAGAAGCTTGGTAGCGTCCTATCAACAGCTCCTATAGGGTTGAAAATTTAATGAAAAAATTTCAATTATTCATTGATATAATACAGGACAATATATCTACAAATTATTCTGCGGGCATGATGTTTAAATTAAATTTTTTGAATCAATTTTTTTTTAAACATACAAAATACACAAGTCAATTCGAATCAATGTTTTAAATAATTGTTTATGAAGAAGTTTCAAATTTTTGCAGCTGTTTTTTATAGCTAATTTTATTTTATGCTTTTTTTAAATTACATTTTGAATTTAGTTTTTGGAATTTTTGTTATACAATTTCATTAATTAACTTTAATGAAAATGTTTTTTCTTTCGTAAATATTTTCCAGCTAATTGAAAATTTCAGCTTAATTTTGGAACAAATTTGACGTTATTAGTAAAATATATATGTATAACATACCTACTCAATAACAAGTAATATTATTTTTACATTAATTTATAAAAGGTAGTGTATGTATGTGGTAGTATAAATTTGTATCATACACTAAGATTTATGAGTTTTGATAGTATGTGCGCGAAGCTAAAATAGCGTTCTAGCCATTATTTGCAGTACTCGTCATTTGAGCGAGAAACACGCACGAACACGCACAGCTCCGCGCCACAGCGAGGCAAAAGCGAGCGTGAGAGAGATAGAAGTACTCGACGCTACAAAGACGTTTTTAAGAGTCAGTCGAACAGTTTTCGCTCGTGCTACGTTCCGGAGTAGAGGGGAGCGAACTAACTATCGGCTGTAGCACTCGGCAACCGGCAGGTCCCTCGGGCCTCGATATTTGCAACAGTATTTACCCATATTTTCGAGGCAACGCTGTAATGCTAAATAGCGTCTATGTTATTAGCAGCACGGCAGCTCGAAACTCATACTGATGCGGCAACGCTGTGATGGCGAACGCACTGACTCACGGATCTTTGCTCTTTCCCTGCCGTGCAAATATAATTCGTGCATAGTCTTGGCAATATCGTAGGCATGACACAGACTTGTGTACAGTGTATTATACGAGTTGTAACTAGGTTGTAACTAGTGACAAACACAAGCGAGGTTAGGGAAGCATTCGATAAAAGTATATTTCTCTAAATACAGTTCATCGAAAGATAAAAGTGCAAACAGAAGATTAATGAAAGTCGTGGCTACGAAACTTGTGCATCCAGAACCTCGCGTTATATTGTATTTTTGTGCTCGACACTTTGGTGCCAACTGCCTCTATTCGGAAGTGTTGATTCATTATCAAGTGCAGTGTTAGATCTATTGCGCTTCTTTTTAATTCATTGGTGATTGCAAGTGGTTTTAGAAATAGATACGGTTTTTCAATTAGTCATGGGAGTAACAACGAAAAGTCGTCGTTTTCTATTTTGCCACGCTGAAGAACTGCATTTCAGACAATAGACAATTGTGATCATGCATCTTTACCACAAGTCCAACATGATAACGTTGAAATTAACATTCAAATCAAACAGTGAAAACCTTAAAAAAAAAATAATGCAGAAACGAGCCAGGGAAGATTCATCATTAGCTTCTGATGAATATGACATGCCCTATCAATCTAAAATGCAAAGGCCATAAAAAGACAAAAAGCCTCATCTTTTCATGACATCTTCAACTCACTCGGTTCAAGTAGTAGTATACTTTCTGGTGTGAAGAAAGAAACAAGTAAGAATAATGATATAAGTTTATTTTCATCAAAAAGTCAATTGTTTTTACACTTATTTTGTATTATTGCAGCAGGTACATGGCAGTGCAATACAAAAAAGCATTTCATATAACCAATTATTCAGCAAACACAAGTTTTTCTTTGACTATATCTGCTTCCTTAGAAGAATCATCCAAGTCTAAACGACAGTTGAATGTTGAAGTAACCAATCACGTTGAAGCTACGATGACCAATATCTGGTATTGAGCAGTTTCAAATATATATTTAAAATTTCACAATGAATTAGTGCATGAAGAATAACCCATACAATTATCTTTCTAGCTTTGGTACATGAATGAAGAATGGTAATGGTGTAATGCACAATGGTACAACAATGATTGACAATTACAGACAAAATTTCAACAGACTACAAGTTGGTGATAGAGTTGTAGTTATGCACAAAGATAACTAAACTCTTCACTTTTACATCAATGGAACCGATCAAGGCGTGGCTGTTATTGGTGTTCTGCTTAAAGTTTATGGCGTCTTTGACCTTTATGGACAAGAAGCTCAAGCTACTACAGTCGACAACTAAACTTTTGGCAGCCCTACTACGATCAATTCAAGTATTAGCAATATATTTCTTTATTGGTAAATAGCTATTGATTTGACAAAAATCGACACTATAGATTTTAATTTTAATTTTTTTAATGCAGTGATTTACCATTTCATCACGTACATGGAAAAAGTAGAACTACAAATAATGGACTCGCAACTTCGTGGCTTAGGGCCTTGGGTGAATTCAATAATACCATAGTAATAGCGAATCAAGCTCTGCGTGATGGAGAAATGTTTGAAGTGGTAATTGGTAAGATGGTTAATCGTTGGTCAGGTACAATTGAAGCTGCAGTCACCGCTATTAGGTGTTTGTTCTCTAATTAACCAGTCATCTTTTACCAGTCATTAGTAGATGATATGATTTAAAATTTTCTGCATTATTGTAAAATGTTCAGACTGGATGAACTAGAATTTTCATCAACCATGACAGACATACATTATGATACTTTGATGCGCTCCGGCATGACATTAAGCAGCTGTGTGTAATAATTATGCATGCGATCTTGACGAATTGTGCGAGGGTAACCGTATTGGCATGATCAGGCAGCCTGACGATAACCTTCATTATTACTTTGACGGAGTTGATCAAGGCGTGGCTTGCGTGGATTTGCCAGCTCATGTTTATCTTGTAATGGATCTGTATGGACAGTGCGCTCAGGTATTTACCTCAATCTCAATCAATTACTAGTTATTCATAATGTTAAAAGTAAAATTTTATAATATTATACATTTTGTTATTAACAGCTAAAGATTATTGGATGTTACATGGATTATTTATTATTATTATTTTTTAACTGAATCATTAAGAGTTGTGTAAGTACTTTCTGAAGTTAGAGAGCCTCATGGTAAACATTTATTCGATAAGTTGACCGATGTCTAGCTGCTAAAGTAACAACCAATGAACAAAAGGTCAAAATACCCACCTTGCTGGGGCAAGTGGTACGACGACAAGCTAACTGATTTATAAATTAGTTGTTACTATACACTTTTTAACATTTAAACAGGTAAATTTATTTTATTTTAGTACTATATTGTTTCTTGCCAATGATATGAAAATAAACTTCTTTTTTTTTATAGGTTGGATTATACAATTTCTTTCATAGACTTTATGCTATGTATCCCTACAATTTTGTGTCTTTTTTAAAGCAATAATATATAAAACGTGATCAAATTTTAATTTTTAAAAAAATCATTGGTCCAATGATTCTGTGCGCATGCATTTATTACTCATGAATATGTCAAAAGAGTTTGAGACTTCTTTTTTAAGTTAGTTATTGAACATTTTATCTAAATTGCTTAGAACTAAAATATAATTAAGCTTACACAAGCTTGTTCATTTAACGTTAGATGGAAAAAAAGTGGAAAACCATCACATTGTGGCTAAATGTAGTTGTTTTTCATTACTTGGCTCTTAAAGAAAAGAATGACAAGAAGCAGCTGCTCGTCTAATGATATAGAAGATCATAAAAAACAACAGACTGAATGAAAAGATTCAAATGCACATCAACCAAGTGATGTAGAATCATTGAGACTTCTCACTTGCACACAATGCGCGCTTATCTAATAAGTCAAGGTTCACATTGAAGAGCGTCCTATGCACAATGCTGAACCTGTATCAACATTCATTGAATCGCTCCGGTGAATAGACAAAACGGTCAAGAGAATCTTAGTCGATAACGAAATATCATTCCGGGTATATTGCACGGATCAAAAAATTACGATGTTGAACACGTTGATGATTCAATAAAGAATGATGTTCTCAAAAAACCACAAGAGCTTATCGTCTCTTTTATAGAAGAAAGTAAGTTTTTAGTTAATGACGAACCCTGATCACAACGTAAGTAAATTTTGAATGTTCAATCCGATTCTAATCGGCGAATTTCGTACAAAAATTTATTTTCAATAATTATACTTTCAACAAATCGACTAGTTATATATTTCTCTCTATATTATAAGATAATATCGCCGCCATTCGGTGGAATGGTCATATGACGTCATTTTCGCCGCCATTCGGTGGAATGGTCATATGACGTCATTATCGCCGCCATTCGGTGGAATGGTCATATTACGTCATTATCGCCACCATTCGGTGGAATGGTCATATGACGTCATTATCGCCGCCATTCGGTGGAATGGTCATATGACGTAATTATCGCCGCCATTCGGTGGAATGGTCATATGACGTCATTACGCGATGATCACGTGATTCGGTCGAAAAGTCACATGACGTCATCACGTGATGATCACGTGATTCGGTCGAATGATCATATGACGTCATCACTTGATGATCACGTGATCAAAAGGTCATGTGACCTTTCTATAACGATGTCATCAAGTGACAGACCTTTTGATTATGTCACTTTGACCTTTCGATCACGTGACGATCACGTGATTACGTCACGTGACCTCTTTACCTTTCGCCATTTTAAACATTTTATTATAGTGTAACCTTGCGCGTTTTGGTACAAGAATAATTTAAATAATAGGGTCATAAATGTGATAATTATGGTTATTTTGGTTTTTTGATTACGTGATTTTAACCTTTCGTTCACGTGACGATTACGTGCTTAAGTAACGTTACGTTAAGTAACGAACCGCTTGATGATAACGTAACCTTGAGCGTTATAATTCGTTCATCATGCGATGCGTCATAACGTGATCACCACGTGATCGAAAGATCAGAGGCACATGATGATCACGTAATGAGGTCATGTAACCTTTTGCCATGTTGACCATTTGAACCTTTGACCTTTCGATCGAAATATTTGAATTTGACTTTTTGATCACGTGATTATCACGACACCTTGACCTTTTGATCAGGTGGTGATTATTATGGTGACTTTGATCCTTGACCCCTTTCGATCATCACATGATCATCACGTGACTCTGACCTTTCTATAACGCGATCATCAAGTGACTGACCTTTCTATACGTTAACATTACGTGACTTTGAACTTTCGATCACGCGACGATCACATAATTACGTCACGTGACCTTTCGTTCATTTGGTACAAAAATAATTTAAATAATAGGGTCATAAATGTGATAATTATGGTTACTTTGATTTTTTGTACAAGAACCAAAAATTATTATGGTTAATTTGGTTATTTTGGTTTCTTCCATTGTACAGACGTTCTCATCCAGTTGAAAGATTAGCATTACACTTAGAAATTAAACAAAATTTAATTTTCCCTGAAAATGAAGAAGTAGAAGCAGCCAAAAAGCCTGGTACTACTTTAACAGCGTGGTTTGATTTAAATAAAAATGATGTTCATGCTAGAAAATTCACGTACGTAAATAATTTACAAGACTATAAGTACAATAAAAAATTTTGAATTTGGGAACGGAGATCACAATTTTCAAATACATTGGGAAGAATAGTTAGTGTTGTGCCAAAAGATGTTGAACGGTTTTATTTAAAATTAATTTTACACAAAGCTAAAGGCTGCAAATCATTCGACGATTTAAGAACTTATAAGGGTATTAAATACGATACATTTAGAGAAACGGCGATTGCAATGGGATTAGTAGATAGCGATCTAGAAATAAAAAAAATATTGACGAAGCTTGTTTAATAATGATGCCGAAACAACTTAGAAAATTTTTCCCTTGGTTTATAATTATTAACAATATACCAATGATTCGAGACGTTTGGCAAACTTATAAAAAATATTTTTTGGAAGGTTTTAAAGATAATCATGAAAACAGAGCTTTGAAAGAAATAAATGATATTTTAGAATTTGAAAATTTAAGCTGTATTGATGTCGGTTTACCAGCACCGAATCTGGATTTTTTAAAAACTCTTGTTGATGAAGAAGATTTAAATAGTCAACTGGAATTTTATAAAAATGAATATCTTCTTAGATACAAAAAAATGAATTTAGATCAAAAATTAATTTTCGATTACGTAATAACACATTTACGTAACGCTGGTAAACCGACATCAATACTTCTTCATTTTCAGGGAAAATTAAATTTTGTTTATTTTCTAAGTGTAATGCTAATCTTTCAACTGGATGAGAACGTCTGTACAATGGAAGTATTATATAAAATTTTATATTATTAAACATATACTCATATGAAATTGTAAACGAGGGGGGTTGGCGCGCGAAGCGCGCAGGGGGGCTCGCCCCCCTAGTATATGTATATATATATGTCGTCTGCGTTGCCACTGAGACTTTTCTTATGAGCCCTCAACTCCTCGGCGATGCTCCCGCTAATCGACTTCTTTCTCTGCGGTCCTCCTCGAAATCGCCCAGCGGGAATTTCGAGGGCTCGAACACGATCCGGCCCTCCTCGAATTGAAGGATGCGATCGACGTCGTGGAGGATGTGCAATTTGATGTGTCAAAAGGACGTACGTTCTCTCGCTGAGATAATCTAGCACGCACTCGTCCAACAGCGACCTGACCACGGCGGGATCCATCTACGTCAAGGGATCGTCTAGGAGGTAGATGTCGGCCTCGCGATTTACGGCTCGCCTCAGGTTGACTCGGGCGCATTGGCATCCCAAAGCAGCAGTAATGCAGGTATCAATGCAGCAGCAAGCTGTGAGGCAACAGGATAAACCGCGACTTCATTCACGTACGATCAACTTGGAATCAAGTATACCAGTATCTCAAATACAGCGTATGTAGACGACGATTGCGTCAGAACTACACTAGTACAGTAAGTACATACTCGTTCGATTTCGTGCAAAAAGAGTTGCAACAATAACATTAGTCGTACATCCCAACGGCATGCGAGTTCCCGTATCTCTGGAAATCTACTCGTACTCGAGTGCGTACTGAAGAACACGGACTTTGTCCAGGGCATTATCGTATAAATCGCACACGAGACCAAGGTCATTCTGAACAACGGCAGTCCGCATTACAAGCGAACGCGCCTGGAAAAGCAGATGAATTATGGTGTAATCTGGTGCGCGGCGGTCCTCGTAATTCTGTGCGTCGTGTATGTTAAATTTATAATTCTAAAATAATATTATTTATTCGTCAAATGACACCTTTTTGTTACAAGTATTTAATGTTTTTTTGTAAGATGCATACGCTTGAAAATTCTTATGAAGAATTAATAAAGTATAACGATTTGATTGAAATTTTTCTATCATAAAAGTTTGATGTAATCAATCATTGATAATATACTAAGTAATTTCTGATGTTCAGATTGTATAGTCTACATGTTTGTTGGACGGAATGCTGTGACACAGCCTGATTTTGTCAAAAGCAATTGTTGTTTTACAACATAAATTGGTGGGAAAATTCTCAGAGAATACATGAATTACCGCACATTTATTTTTTACATTAAAAGTTTGATTTGATCAAACATTGATGAAACGTCATGTCATGACTTATTAAAATCTACCTAATGCAAGAGATGAAAATGCCACCTGGTGGCAAGTTCAGAACTAAATTTTTTTATTATCCAAGTGATAATTGATAATACAGATGCCCAGGGGTATATCGGTATTCGTCATCGTGTATGCCTGGCCCTTAAACACACACACAAGACATTTCAAACCAAGTGTCTTAGCGCTTCGCCACGCAGTAGAAAAAGATCTAACTTATAGTTATTACATCAAATTTCCTTAGATCTCCAATGGAGTAGTCCGATTTTTTTAAATTTTACATTTTCTCCGGGTAAATCTCTGAAAAACCTTAAAAGTTAAATATTTCAAAAATCCCATTTTTAAATTTTTTAAATAAGTCGTCTAATCAAAAGCTGAAGAAAGTTCCTATCGATATATTCAAAATGTGCCAGTAATTATTAGTTAAGTAAACACAGTGACGATCATGTAAAAACGTGACATTTTGGCCCACGTGGTGTACTGCACGCCGCAACAGATGTCTTAACTTGTTTTGCGCACACTGTGCAGAAAAAGCTGGGCACGTGTTGCATACAAATTTCTGGTATTGCATGAAATATCATGCATGCACTCTTTTTTATGCACTTTTCGCATTCTCTTGCATACAAATTTCTGGTATTTCATGAAATATCATGCATGTACTCTTTTTTATGCACTTTTCGCAATCTCTTGCATAAAATTTTGTATGCAACAAGTGTCGAGCTTTTTTTGCACAAAACAAGCCACTCGTGCTACCAAAACAACCCATTTGTATTAACTGATGGCAGTCTTCGTGCATGCGCTGTGCGCCAAAACGAATTTTGGGCACTTTTTGCATAAATTACTACTTAACAAAATTTCATGAAAAAAAAAAATAAAAATCGTTAAAAAAAGTTTTTTTTCCCGACGAACATTGCTATATTAGCTCTTCCGGCTTCATCGTTGGTACAATTGATCTACAATAGAGCTTCCTCTATGAGAATGCAAAATTTAGAGTTCGACTCAAATTATGAGGATGACACTTGCATTTATTTGATCTTGTGAAAAAAGCATACTACTACGATTTTGAATTATTTTATAGAAAACTTTGGTTAATTTTTCAGTGTATACGAAGATAATCACTCATGCGAATGCGGTCAAAAAAATCTCTCTAAAAAATCTGCGATCAAGAAAATGTCTTCAAAACTTCAAAACTAAATAATTATAAACATATTAAATATTTATATAATACAATAAATATTTATATTAATACAATAAATTAATATATTAAAATAAAAATTTAATAAAATGGTTGACCGCATTTTCTTTTGGAGAGATTTTTTTGATCGCGCATCACTAGAACGTTGATACTCTTCGTAAGCACGGTCGATATGATCGAAATGTACTCGAAAATGAGCTTTTGAACGAATTTTCGTAGGATAATGATTAGTTGAAATTCTTACAAATGTCTGTGTGCATTTATGTGATTATTAATCGTCATAATTATGAAGACGGAAGAAATTATGCTACAATCTAAAAAAATAAATTTTTTTTTCCAATTTTTTTGTTTTCTGTTTTTAATTTTTAAGGAGGCTGTAGCGATGCAAGGTTGTTCTGTATTAAAGCGCTACATGCGCAAGGCTGTATGCGTTACGCAGTGCACAGCGTTAGCATGGCAGAACATAGGGAAAAAGTGTTGGACTCTTAATATCTTTTTTATTTGCCTGGAAACACCAATTTATAATTATATCATTCGAAAGCTAATGAAATTTCCTATAACATATGTTAATTTCATTAACTTGTAAAGAGATTTGAGCTCACAGTACACTAACAACTGCCACTTCCCATTTGATTCAATGTTAAATGGCCGAAACTTTGAATTTCATTATTTCCCAAATTTGCATGGAAACCCCCAATTTTTTTTTACCAAAAATCTTGTAAATTCATGAACTATCAGTGGTTAAAATTTCACTCCGGTCTAAAAAATTTTCCAATTTCGCTACAGCCTCCTTAACTTAAACGTTTTCCAGTTTATTTTGTTGTTAAAAATGAATTATTGAAAAACGAAGAACAATAACGAAAGGAGGATTTTTATTTAACAGTTTACAAAGGATTAGTCTTATATTTCAAAAGTTACATTTTCAATTATAAAAATGTTAATTTAAATTTTTTTAAAATTCATTTTTTCGTTTGAAAGTAAGGGTTAAAACATTTTTTTGGAATCAATGTTAAAAGTGATTATTAAAGATGAACAAGTTTGCTTTGTTTTACTTAAAATAGCAATTGAAATTATAAGTAAAGTGAATATGAATCCTTAGAATGAATTAATAAAACTTACAAATACACTTTCGAATTGATTAAAATATTTGCTTTGTAACTTGGGTAACTGAATAAATATTATATATAAAAGGTTTATTTTCATTGTAAGACCACTATTTTATCATATAAGTAGCTTAACCATTTCATCAGAAATTACACAAAAATCTCTATTTTGTACAGAAAATCTAGAGTTATTGGAAAGAAATCGTTCACGATCACAATCGCCTGATTCGACCCACAATGAAGTAATAGAAATATTACCCTCGAAACGGAAGGAATCTTCGCCAGAAAAATCTGATACAGGTATGTTTTTTTTCCAAATAATACAAATAGCACAAGACCCTACAACTTTTTTTTCTGTACAGAAAATCTGGAATCACCTAAAAAAAGTCATAGTTTGGTTTTTGGACTGGTATAAAATTATATCAAAATTTATAAAAGTTCTATGCGAATTTAATTTCCATCTAGAGTATATTCCATTGCAGGATTTATTAATTTTTATGAAATATCTTTTTTTTTGTCAAAAAACAGGGGATAATTATACACCAAAATCATATGATTCGAGCCAATATAGAAAAAAAATAGAAACTATAAAGAATAAAGCTACTACTTACAAGAAACATGATGCCATGGAAGTGTATCGTCACTCGAATATACCATCCCAAAAAGGTATGCAATTTGTTAATAAATTACAATTTAAATGACTTAATGTTTCTCCCGTATTTTCTTTACTTTTAATAAAGTAATAGATTGAAATCAGCAGCTTTAAAGCGAGGTTCTCATCTAGTGACCCAAAAATTACGTGCTTTTCGAGATTTTTTCTCATAGAAGTAAGTTAATAATGTACTCAAATTTTGTAGTACTTATTAAGTATATTATTAACTACTTTTACTAATCATCATAGACAAATACACTGCATAGTTTCTTAGTTAGTGCATTTATAGATAGTCGATTTTTTTTGTAAACTAGATGACATTTGCTGAATCCTGAAATAAAATCACTAAAAAAAGTTAAAAATTATCAAAATAAGGGACTTGCAAAACGAAAAAATTTATTTTCAAATTTTTTCAGTTTTAAAGTGCTCTAACGATAAAGATGACGATTTTAAAATAAGATTTTAGTTCAAGATCCAGTCAATTTAATAATCTTTCAAAAAAATTATTACGATATCCATAGTAGTTTTTAAAATATCTTACCACTCGTCTCAGAAAACATGGTTTCGAGAAAAATACGTTTATAGTTGTCAACTGCTATTGAGCACCGTGTAAGCCCTTACTCTCGATCCTGACGTGATCATCTTCTTAAGGAGGTTCCCTTGCAAAGTTCGCAAGAAGTACATATATCAATATCGATAGATTTTGACCTCCCAAAACGAATGGTATAACTCTCATATGCCCAAGCCAGGCGAAATCTCGAAAAAAACGCGATCGAAGTTTCGCAAATTAACATGGGGAACATAGAATACATGAAAATTTGAGCTACATTTACAATTTATAAAAAAAAATCAAAGTTAGCAGGGGAATGATTATATACAAATTTTAGAGAAAGTTCTTATCTTTCAAAAACCGTGTCTCAAAGCAGAGGTAGCCTGCCATTTTTTTAACAAAAGACGCGAAAACAAGACTTTTTCGGCTCCTTTTACAGCTAGCAGACGACAAGCCACCTAACTTGACCCATGTTACTGTGCGAACACTCAATAGACCAGCGTGTTACCCAAGGGAACCTCCTTAAACCGGAGCAAATGCTATATAATACGAAGGGGAAGGAGGGGGGGGGGGGGAGTAGTACAATCTCTCCTGCGCCTACAAGCCTTCTCAAGAGGAAAGAGTGATAGAGGGGGAGAGAGAGAGACAGAGAGAGAAAGAAAAATTACAATGGAAAATACTGAAAAACACTTTATGACTAATATTAAATTGTCGTGAGATCCATTACGCAATTAATTTTTTCATCACTACGTATCTCCATTTCCCGTTTAAGGTACGCTTTACCGTGACTTGAGCTGTTGATCATTGCACCGCAACAGTAGTACTAGCCGTTCGAGTAACCCATCTTGAACACGACACTAGTACCGCCGCTACGCTCGAACGTTAACTGCACCGGGTATTAACGATTGCTTGAGTCACACGTATTATAGTATATTATTAAATATGGCATTATAACCTAAAAATCGCAAATGTACTGCTAGTTTTAGACTGTTTTGACCAAAAATATTGAATGTTTCAAAGTACTAGAATGTTTCAAACGTGCTCCGCTCACGTCACTTATTTTATTCGTGCTTTGAGGTTACTTAAGTACTGTCTGTTGACAGTTAGCAGCGCAGGCGCTTGTATCGAGTCGGCTAATAGATAGAAGAGAGAATTATTAAATGTGACACTATAACCTAAAAATTAAATTTACTGCTAGTTTTAATCTGTTTTACCCAAAAATATTGCATGTAACTAGTGTGAATAGACTTTTCCCGCAAAACTCTTTGCACCCCTTGTTTTTCAGAAAAAGTATTTCCACACCCGTTGCATAATTTACCTTTCTCTTAAACTATCTTTATTTGTTTTCAGGTGCTTCTCGTACTAAAGTTGATGAAAACAAAAGTCGGTCGAAATCATATGATTCTATAGCGAAGAAGGATGATAGAATCAAAGAACGAGAAATTGAAAAAACCAGGGAAAAGAATCGTCATTCGAATGAACGATCTGAAAAAGGTATGTAATTCATAAATAAATTTTCATTAAAAAAAATTATCTTTTCTCCTGTCTATTTTTTCTTCCTTATGAAAAAGTAACGGACCGAAATAAAAAACTGTCTGAAACAGCTTCTGATTGATAGACTTACTTGAGAGTTATTGACCGCACTGATTTTTGTCGACGATTTAATATCTTGGAAAATTTAATGATTCCAATTAAAATAAAACCAAATAAAGCTTTGCAAAACTCATTAAATATTCAATCGATTAAAAATATTGAAATATTATTTTGGTATCTTTAATGTTATTAAACTTGATGAATTAACTGTGATCCCTTAAAATGCCTTTTATTAACCATTTCCCGTAGAAATCCCACAAATTGACCAGGGACCATCCAATAAATGACCGATGTAACATCATGTACAGTTTTATCAAAATCAAAAACTACCTTTTTATTAAAATATTCAAATCTAATTATATATCGTTGTTACTGATTCAGTGCTGATCGAACTAGTACTGTTTAAATCAGTTTTATGCAAGAGGAAGTAAAAGTAGATTATTAGCGAACCTAATTTTATACTATTGTATGCGCAAAGTAGTGGTCAATAATTAGCCGTTGCCCATCAGCACCTCGTCCAATAATTTAACGCATAAGAAATTCAATAATTCTTAATATAAATCTCTGTAAATGTAATAGTTATTACATTTACAGAGTCGAAAGTTAGTTTAAAATATCGGTATAACATTGCTGCTTGCAATTCGTGCGAATATTAAAAGCTAGATTAACATTCGTGTATTCATTTTATATGTAATTATTGTGTACTGTTTTACCCAAAAATATTGCATGCAACTAGTGTGAATAGGCTTTTCCCGCAAAACTCTTTGCAACCTCTTGTTTTTCAGAAAAAGTATTTCCACACCCGTTGCATAATTTACCTTTTTCTTAAACTATTTTTCTTTGTTTTCAGGTGCTTCTCGTACTAAAGTTGATGAAAACAAAAGTCGGTCGAAATCATATGATTCTACAGCGAAGAAGGATGATAGAATCAAAGAACGAGAAATTGAAAAAACCAGGGAAAAGAATCGTCATTCGAATGAACGATCTGAAAAAGGTATGCAAGTCATAAATAAATTTTAATTTAAAATTTCTGGGATGGAAAGGCAAGATAATTCAAGTCCATTTTTTGGAAATCAATATTATGATGAAAATTATGTATTTTTAGTTTCTATTATAAGATATTTGAGTCAGAATAGACGAGCAATATCGTTAGTTAGAGCATCATGCATAACGACTCGAGTCCGTTTCGTGAGAAGCGAGGAAAGGCAAAATGACTGGAGTCCACCTTTGAGAGTTTCCAAAAGCGATATAGAGTCTACTTTGAATTGAAAAAGAAAAAAATCATATTCGAACGTAAACGTGACTTCCGGACTCTTCAAATTTTGTTAATTCTACTTTGCGATTGGTATATTAGATACCCCACAGCCTATTTTTGCCTTGAGCTCTGTCTATTTTCGTTGTAAGATTTGAAATCCGATCGTTATAGAGCTATTTTATCAATGCAAAATCATTAAATGAGATTATGATCACAAACTGAGCGAAATATGAATATTAAATAGTGTTACCGTCAAAAGTGGGCTGAAGTTAATACATCGGTAATGGTGACTTCATATGATTTTGATGAAATTTGGAGACTATTCCTGTGTTGATTAAAACTGATACCTTCCAAATTTTATCAACATCATATCAAAGTCACTTTTACCGATGTAACACCGTAAATGCCAACTGTGAACAGGCAAAACGACTTGAACCCGTATCATCACTATGATGTGTTTTTCAATTTCATAAATATGTAGGTCAAAAGTTACCTCATATTAGTTTGAAGTGCCATACTTTCCAACCTCAAGTCGTCTACGTCTAGTTAGGCCCTCGCATGCAACTTAAAACATATTTTTCTCGAAACATCAAAATTGAATTTGAGTGTTATTCCTTTCTATCACAGAATTATTGTTTCTCCTTTCCATTTTTTCTTGTAAAGAAAAGGAATTGACCGAAAAAAACGTTTTAAATGTCTTCTTATTAGTCGAGTTACTTTTGAGTTGAATCAATACGAGAGAAAGTGACATCTGCAGTCGAAATAGTAAGTGTTTTATAGCATGCCTAGTTGCCTTGAAAAATGCGACTTTGTGACAAACATTAACTTGTTATGAGATCCATTCCACAATTAATATTTGCAACACTGCATGGCTCCATTTCCCATTTAAGGCACGCTTTGCCATGTGTTGAGCTGTTAATCATTGCACCGCAATAGTAGTACTAGCCATTCGAGTTACCCATCTTGAATACAACACTAGTATCGCCGCTACGTTCGAACGTTAACTGCACCGGGTATTAACGATTGCTTGAGTCATAAGTATTATAGTATATTATTTATTATGGCACTATAACCTCAATAAATTCACTGCTAGTTTTAGGCTGTTTTAATCAAATATATTGTACGCAACTAGTGTGAATATGCTTTTCCATTAGCACTCTTTGCCACCCCTTATTTTGCAGAAAAAGCATATCAATATCAGTTGCATAATTTACCATTTTCTTAAACTAATTTTTGTATTTTTTAGATACCCCTCGTGATAAAGTAGATAAAAACAAATGATGGTCTTAATCACATGATAATTCTAGAACAATAGATGATGATCAAATGAAAGAACGATATGATGACAAAAATAAAAATACCAGAGAAGTGAATCGTCATTCAGATAAACGATATGAAAAAGGTATGTTATTCACAACTAAATTATAATTAACATTAATTATTGTTTCTCCGGTATATTTTTTTATTACTTTTTTACGATAGTGTAAAATTTTATAAAAGATTATTACAGTTTAAACATTCTTCTGGTTTTTTTTACCCCTTCTGACCGGCACTTAGAACCCACAATCGAATTGTTTTTGGCATTGAATTGGTATTCTATTATTCTAAATACAAAACTTTTACATAAAAATATCGATTGCATATTGTTGTTTATACGCACACATGTGTACACAAGTACTTTAAGAAACGTAAAATTATTACTCACTTAACTGTTTAAATTACTTACATGGTTTATACACTATCATTCCAGAAAAATAAGGATAAAATAATTATACACCTTATGCTGAGGGGTATTTCGAATACTTAATTAGTACGTTTATATTAATATAAATACTAATCAGCATCAATTGTTATCATTAAGCATTCGATTAATATCACTCGTTACCGTCTTCCACAAGGAGCATACTTGCCTCCACCAAGGATTAGTGAACACATACGTATTATACACGAAGATAATGTCTATTATATTAGGAATACTCAACATTTTAAAGTGAACCTGGTATTGAAAATTTATTTCGATAGAGACAGTGCTATAAAATTAATTTTTTATATTAACCCATTAAGTCCCAAGAGGACGTTTTTTCAACACTTCATTCGGCCCCTGTATTTTTGGTGTAAATGGGGTCAAAAAAATATGCGAGTAACTAATTCTAATGTAAAATTTAATGCCCTTTCAGAATCTGATCTCAGATTTTTGAAAAAAAGATCAGGTAAAAAGTTACACTTGATTTTACCCAAAAAAACATGATTTTTAAAAAAAAATTATTTTTATTTTTCGAATTTCCAAATGAAAACCATTAGAAATCTTAGGGGTATCGTGCAAATATTGCGTCCTCAATACCTAAAATAAAAGTTAGTGGGGTTTAGATTGAAGAAAATAAAGTTAAAAAATACACTTTTTTCTCAAGTCCTTCGTTTTTGAGTAAAAATTCTATAAGTTTTCATTTAATTTTGCTAGTTTCGACCGACATTTTTTGTGTTTAAACATTAATTTTTTCAATCGGTACTCCGCTAACTTTCAGTTTAGATATCGAGGACGCGATATTTGCACGAAACTCTTTAGATTTCAAATGGTTTTCAATTGGAAATTCAAAAAATAAAAATAATTTTTTTTTTAAATCATGTTTTTTTGGGTAAAATCAAGTGTAACTTTTTACCTGATCACTTTTTCAAAAATCTGAGATCAGATTCTGAAAGGGCATTAAATTTTACATTAGAATTAGTTACTCGCATATTTTTTTGACCCCATTTACACCAAAAATACAGTGGCCGAATGAAGTGTTGAAAAAACGTCCTCTTGGGACTTAATGGGTTAACTTTTATGTAATTATGTGAGTACCAAAAGTACCAAGATGATTTAAAGCATATTCGATGAATAGATATTTAGTGATTATAAAAAGTTTTGCTCTAACAATAAGACCCAAAAGTTAGTTTTATATAAATCATTCTGTGGGATTCCCATTAAAGTGGGTGTACACATATATGTTTATCAGTCTAAAGAGGTTAAAGATCGAATAAATCTGACCAATTTTTGGCTGTAAATTTCAGTTAGAATTTAAGTTAAAAATGAATAATATTTGATTTAAGGTTGCTCTAAATACGCAATAAAACAAAAAGCTGTAAACTTTTATAAATTTTTAGATAATCTTATTCGATTCCTATTCGGGGTATATTCCTTTTCATACCAACGGCCCAAAGGTGACTACTTCCTTGCCGCGGTACAAAGCGGAAGGAGGGATTTTGAGGTCACTGGGTTTGAAAAGTGGGATAAAAGCCTAAGTCGCGAAAAATGAAAGCCCCAGAGCACGTGTCCATCGCTAATTACATGTACTCTGGGACTTCTCTATTATTCACGGCTTAGGGCAGTAATATGCATTTATAGCAATTAACATTTTTATACTTGAAATGTATATTTTTTTTCTTCTAGATTCTTCTGATATTTGGAATGACGTTTATCAATTAGGTATGAAATTTGTTGAAAAATTATTAGACAAATAATTTATTTTTTGCTCCTTCTAACTAGAGGAGATTTTCGTGCGAATTTCTTGAACAAGAAATTCATCCATATCGATAGATTTTGACTTCTTGCATATAATGATATTATCTTTATAATACTAACCCAATTAAAATCTCGAGAAAACTGAAATCAAAGATTTGAAAATTAACACAGGCTTATATGAGAATGTATACAAATTTGAGCTGCATTTACAATTTACGAAAAGAAATGTAAGTTCTCTCGAAGATAATTATATACACATGGGCGATTCTTTTCCAACTCAATCTGACGAAAAAATTGTCGTGTACATGGATGATGGACATGTTCGGGAGGGTCTATCACCTTTTTTCAGAGGCCAGAAGTTTGCGAAATTCCGCAAGTCATGTTCATTGCGAATATTTCAAAAACTCCTAGCTCCTTAGGTTCATAGTGACTTTTGAATAATGAGTTAATTTATTTTTGTGTGGAAAGTGTCCAAATTTTTAGTTAAAAATAGTCCGTTAATGATTTTTCTGGACAGAAAAAATCAGAGAGTATCATAAAATGTGGAAAAGACGTCGAAAAAAGCTTTTTGCTCTATTTTAGGCTCTATAGTGGGAGCAAACTACAAACGAGTTACTTTAATCCTTTTTAATTCTCAAACACACATTTGTCTAGTGTGGTGGGATCGAGAATCTCCTTAAAAACGTAAATTTGTTGCTACTTGTAGCCTTTCGTTGTTATAAATTGTTGTTTAATAAGAAACAATTCTGTGTATATTCAACTGATATAAGTCATTTTACGTTAAGTTACCAAAGGCCCGTTCGCGCAGCATTATTAGGCAAGATTTCTCACAATTACTAACTCGCTTTAAAAGTAAAAATGCATCTAGAAGAAAAAAGTAACCTAACATTTCGATGGAAAATTACCGTAGCTTCCCGAAGATGGAGCAAGATTTTCAAAAAATCCCCATTTTTCCCTGGATTAGTTTTTTGTGATCTTCGGATGTTCAGCCTGCGCGGCGCGCTCACAATCCACGTTTTTTCTTCTTCTTGCTAAATGTTGCTAAATTCTAAAAACAGTCTTCTCGAAAATATCTATTTCAATGAAAAATTTCCTCCTCTTTTGATCTAGATAATTTGAAACAATCGTTAAAATGTACTTTTTTAGATATTAGACTTTAAAATATTCGATTTTCGCGGAGAAAATGAAAAATTTTCAAAAATCCAATTCCACCATTGAATAGCTGAGGTAAAGTTACTACATCGAAATGATAAGTTACTTTTTCTTCTAGGCGCATCTAGGTATTTTTACCGTGAGTTAAATATTGTGGGATTTCGCGTGATAATGTTGCGTAAGCAAGCCATTGGCGTCTCGACGTGAAATTGCTCGTAATAGCACATTACTGCCCTAGGCCGCGGAAAACAGAAAAGTCCCAAAGTACGCGTAATCAGTGGCTGAGGCGAAGCCGAGGCCGATAAACACGTGCTCTGGGTCTTTCTTTTTTCGTGGCATAGGCCTGTGTACTATTTCTCATGCTACCCCAACCGACACTTACCTTTTTCGTCCCGACGGCCAAAACGAAAAAGTTAATCTCTGCTGGGGGATTCATGAAAAATAGTATATGCACCTATGAAGCGAAAAAGAAAGCCTCAGAGTACATGTTTATCAGCATCAGCATCGCCTCGGACGATAATTACACGTGCTCTGAGGCTTTCCGGTTTTTCGCTCCCTAGGCACGTAATATACTATTTCATACACAGTGGCCCGAAAATCGCTCTTCCCGCTTTGCGCAGCGGTAGGGAAGTAGTCACTTTCGGGCCGCTGGTATGAAAACCATATTTCTGCTTGATTTTTAAAATAAAATACAACTGGTTTTTACTATCAATATTTTTTAAATAGGTAATTCCATTCAAGATGCCAAAAAACTGAAGAAAATACTCGAGTTACCCATGGAGGAAAAAATGACCAATGTTTTGAGTAAGTTAGAATTTTCCGTCTCAGCCTTCAAAGGATCACAAAACGTTTAATAATTAAACATTATCTTTAGTGTCATTAAATCATATCATGCGAAAGCAATCTACACTGGAGGTATTATTATTAAAAGGCAAAGGATTTGGACAGAATTCCACTGATGACAAAAAATTAGATGCTACTAAAGTTCTAGAATTGTCCAAGACCCTGCCATTAAAAACCATTGAGCAGTGGGAACATTTTGACAAAATGATGGAAAACATCGATAAAGGAATTATGTTTGTAAGTTCCAGCTTATAGTTTCTTATGATACAAGGGGCATAAGTAACACTATGCGTCACGGCATGGTTTAGGGTCCGAGCGCAACGAGGATCCTCATAGCTGACAGTAACAAATGTAACTTGCAGTGACACAGTAAAGTGTGCCGTAAATGTTAACTGAATTATTGTAGTGCAATAATAGAATTTATGCCCCACGTGGTGATATGCTCTTTCTGCATAATGCATTTGCTGGAAAAGCTTGTTCACTAAAGCCTGATACAATATTTTATAATAAAAGAGCCTAAAACTAATTGCAAAATTGCGATTTTTAGGTAAAGATGCTATAAAATATTATTATGCAATAGTATGACGAAAAATGTTTATTTTCGCACATTTTTTAGTGCGCAAAAAGCGTTTTTAGACACTTGTGTGCGGTAAATTGACCCAATCGCTCTTCGCCGGCACTCGTTTCTTTTTCCGCACATTCGTGCCCAAAAACGCCTTTTGGGCACTTGTTACATAAATAACTATTACAGCACTATGTGACTCAAATTTTCACTTATGGCGAAAATTTTTTAACATACGTAGCACTGTACCGCATTGCACTTGCTGCTCTAGGACCCTTACTTCCACACCGCAGCGCTATAATCTGCTACTTATATCATAGAAAAGTACCCCAGGTATCGTACACTATTATTCATTCCAAAATAATTTCAGGCCAATTATATCAAAACATTAGACTATGGCAATCCAACCGGTACCTTGCGAAAGATTATGGACAAAATTCTGAGTAACGAATTAGGCAAAACGTTTCAAAGGACCGCAAGATCTCAAGGGACAAATCAACCTCTGCCAAAGCACATATTTGAAGATAGTAATACATTTAAATTAGTGGAAGGTGAGTCAACTACTTTAATCAAATTTTACTTTCGGGAAGGTAGTTCCCTTGCAAAGCTCTCGAAAAAATAAAATATTAATTGATAGATTTCGACCTCCTGCTATAATCATAAGACCTTTATACCCAAACTAGTCAACATTTAAAATAAAACGAATTTGAAGATTGAGAAATTAACATGGGGTTCTATGAAAATGCATTCAGATTGGAGATTTAATTACCATTTACGAAATAAAAACAAAGTTTACATAGAAATAATTATATAAAAGAAGCATTTTCTTTCTGAGGATGTGTCTTAATACACATTTTTTCAATGTATTTGTAAAATGAAAGATGCAAAAAGTATAAGACTTTTCACTCTTTTTAGTGTCAATGTACGAAAAACCATTTAACTTTAGCCGTGCTAATTCACATATACGCATTTGACTAGCGAGGTTGTCGAGAAAACTACCTTTAGGGCTTATATACAGTTTTAAATTAAAAAAATTTTTAAATGCATAAAAGTATTATTATTAATTGAATTTCGTAAAATGGAAAAATTCTCCTTTTCTACAACACTTTTTCCTAACAGAAATTGCACCTTTATACCCAAAATCGATTTAAACACGGGCTAGACTAGATTCTCTTCTCTACATATAAAAAAGAGAACGTCCGAAAAGTGAAGCCGCGTAAAACGACCTCTAAATCACGGTGGGCCTGAAGCCGCGATAGGTTTCATCAAAATGGCCACGAAAACTGATTGCACCACTGTTTAGTCGGTCAATCACAGATGAAAACCCCGTTCGAACCAAAATCCTAGCTGATCCTGTTCAAAAGTTATATTGTTATTTTTCTATTTTTATCCAAAAACCTCTATTTATACTCCGGACGCTGGCTCGGTTTTCGTAAAAATTTCCGATTCCACGGCATTTTTACACGTTTCTAGACGTATTTTGTAGCGCTAAATCGATTTTTCGAGGTTGATTTTCTCGAATCAGGTGCGTTTAAAAGTTATAAACAAATTAATTGTTTAAACGGCCATATCTTGTAAAATATTGAAGATAGATTAAAACAATTGGCGTCTACTTGATCGATTACCTTTTTGAACGTCTTAAAATTTTCGTTTCTTGACGTACTTTCATTTGGATTAAGTTGCTACGTTATTATAATAATTTATCCCAACGAAAAACGCGTATAAGTAAATGAAAAGTGCGTGACAGTCATTAAATTACGTCTCAAAACAGCTAATAATTGCTTTATAAACAATCATACTGGGATAAAAGCTATACCGGATTGTTGTGTAGGTTATTACCTTTAAAATGAGACGTCGACGAGCTCGATCGCACTAATACGAGCCAAGTTACGGAGGTTGAAAGATAAAAAAGGACGTATTTCTAGTAATGTTGCACTAAATATTGTATAACTTTTTTTCTAGTGGACGGATTTTCAATTAATTTAATGGAAATTTTTCGCCTTTCAAGACAAATAAAATAAAAACAAATTGTTTGTATCTATCTTCAATATTTTACAAGATATGGCCGTTTAAACAATTAATTTGTTTATAACTTTTAAACGCACCTGATTCGAGAAAATCAACCTCGAAAAATCGATTTAGCGCTACAAAATACGTCTAGAAACGTGTAAAAATGCCGTGGAATCGGAAATTTTTACGAAAACCGAGCCAGCGTCCGGAGTATAAATAGAGGTTTTTGGATAAAAATAGAAAAATAACAATATAACTTTTGAACAGGATCAGCTAGGATTTTGGTTCGAACGGGGTTTTCATCTGTGATTGACCGACTAAACAGTGGTGCAATCAGTTTTCGTGGCCATTTTGATGAAACCTATCGCGGCTTCAGGCCCACCGTGAATGGCTGACACTGACGACGACGCCCGACGCGAGCTGACTCGATACGAGTGCCTGCGTTGCTAACTGTCAACAGACAGTTAGTTTTTAAGTAACCTCAATTCAAAACACATGAAAAAATTGACGCACGCGAAGCGCGTTTGAAACTTACTATTTCTGAACTATTTCTGAATCTTAAACTAACCTCAAAACACGAATGAAAAAATTGACGTACGCGAAGCGTGTCTTGAACGTCTAATACCTATAAAAAGACCCTAGCTAACTTGATAAATTTTTTGCCAAGAATTTCAAATTTTATTATCACTATTATTAATAATTATCTATACGCAGTACAAATATTTGACTCTACAATTACTTTTTGATAAACTTTTAACTGTGAACTGTACATCACTTCTCATAAAATTGACTAATACGGTGCACTGAATAAAACTTGTAGATTGCACGCAATTTTGTATTCAATTGTAATATGTAAATTAAAATCAGTTTTTACAATTATGCGTTCTAGAGTGATCACTAGGTAACACTGGTCCGCATCAGCTGCTGCTGTCAAAGGAATCTCATTTTTTTTAACATTCTTAAATTTTATTTAATCCAAAAACCGAATTTTGCATTTTTGAACAGAGCACAAATAAGAGTTTAAAATTTCTCTGTAAAACAGACAAATAAAAAAAATTTATATTTTTTAAATTAAGATGTATATAAGCCCTTGATTGTATCAATTAAGTTGCAGTAACATTTATTTTACTAAAAAACGATTTAACTATTTTTACAGCTGTTATGAAGGAATTATATCCAAAAAATCCAGACTTCGGTGGGGATTTGACCAGGTGGTTCACATCGCGTAAAAAATATTGCGATAACGAGGAGAGGTTCGAATTTTTAATATTCCAAACGTAGTATATTTAAGGAGGTTCTTGCATGTATAGCATGAGTCAAATTAAAACTGAATTAATGTATATGTAATTAATTTTTATGAAAAGGACATAAACACTTTTTTCCACTCGAACGTGAATAGTATATTTTGTAACAAGAACGCAAAGCAGTTTACTCGTCCAGGAGTTGTTTTCACCCAAGCGCAGCCTGAGTGCAAAGACTCCTGGGTAAGTCAACTTTCTCGCAAACTAGTTGCAAGCGATATTATTTAACCTCGCTTGCGAGAAACTAGGGTTTTCTGACGCGTTAAGGTTAAAAACCCATGGTCCGTGCACGCTGTGTTAAAAAGATATTAATTTTCAATACAGCATTATATACTTTGATACATATTGCTTAAAAGCACGCGATTTTGCCTACATGTAGGTTACAATGTTATTTATAGACACGCCCGTTTAAAATTGCGAAATTAATATTATTGCCTTTATATCATCGAGTTTCATAAGAGTGCATACTTATCTCTCCGAAGTTTGAAGTCAATTTTCTCAAAATTCTCACGGGAACGGGAAAATCTGGGATGATTATTCGATTCAGTATATTTTAGTCTATCAAAAAAGTTGTAACTAAATCACAGACCTCTCACGCAAGAACCCCCTTAAGGAGATCCGTACCCCAGCCCAAAAATCCAAATTTTGATCCAGTTTTCTGAAACTTCTGGTGAATATTTCTCTAAAAGGCTCTATGGTAACCTTAAAAACATTAAGATGAAGGTCGCCAAAGAGCTTTTTAAAAAATATTCACTAAAAGTTTCAGAAAACTGGATTAAAATTTGGATTTTTCGGTTGAGGTACGGATCTCCTTAAAAAGCTTTTAGTATCAAACAACTTATTTGGTAAAAGTGTATTGAGCGTTGCTTTTATTGATCTACGGTCAATGTACTTATACTTAAAAATTGAAAAGAAAATTTTTCATTTAATTTTTGGTAAACATTTTTTCCCCTTTCCATTGCATTATTTTAAACTGCAAAATATTTTGATTTTTCATCGAGTTCTTTCTGTGAGCTTTTTTTTCGTATACTTGACGACTTTATTTATGATTTTTTTTTTTGGTTTTCTGGATATTTTTATTCAACTGACGAAACAATTGTTTGTAGAGAATCCTTATAGAATTCTTGGGAAGAATTCATAATGTTGTCAAATTTTCAAGCACACTCTTTCTTAATTTTATTTTATAATGAAAGGGAAGAAAAGTATTTTCCAAGAATTGAATAAATGTAAGAAGATGTTGGCATTAGAGTAAAACGAAATTTGTTAAATCTGGTTTTTAAGACTTCATTCAAATAAATTTCTGTAAATTTCTCTGTGAAGTAAAATTGTTTTGAAAACTTTTAGGAAACCGGTTTGAGAATTTTCAGTTTAATTTTACTGAGGCATTGACATTGTTTTAAAACAATGTTTATTAAAACCGATCGATCGATTAATGCTCACTTGTAATTTAAAGATACATTTTTTCAAAAAATTTAATTGGTTTAAAATACGCATTTTCGTATAAATTTTATTTTCTATTTTTCTTTTTTCGATTTTTTTGGAAATTCATGTTTCTTTTTTACGTAATAATTTTCCAAGAAACCCTTATCGCTATATCGATGCTGTTAACGAAAACAAGCACGTTTACTTCACAAAATGTACGGAAATGTTAACTCTTTTTTAATGCTATGATTAAAAGCATAGTTTGTTATAAAAAATTTACACAAATTAACTCGTTAATGCCATTAAAACAGAGTCTGAACATACCTACACCATAGTTGTTTATAACCATGAAAATATTAATAAATAAAAGTATTAAATTAAATAAAATAATTGTAATGCATATAGGCACTAAACCCTGTCTTCGTGGCGTTAATGGATTAAATTTTAAGATTCAAACGTAATTGTTTAACATCATTTATTTTTCATTAGCAAAAAGAACAACAAAAGATCGAAAAATAAAGAATTAACTGGACCATCATCAAAACGCCGAAGAACCAAATAAATAAAAAATCACTAATTTATTCAATTTTTCCATTTTGTTTGTTTAAACGTTTCTGTTAAACTTGATGATTTTGTTGCGTTCTCAAAAAATATTATAAATGTATTGATTCAAATTTTATCAATGTTACAATTACAATAAAGTATTTCTGATACTTAAAATACATGTAATTAGTTTGCTGTCATGTTCATCGTTGACAGCTTTTTCTTAGTTTCTAATAAAATAAAGATGTTTCACATCAAAAATGGTATGCTACTTGCTCATTTTATTTATGGCATGGATTTAAAGCCGTCCATCGCGAAGTTGCATTGCTCGTAGATATAATTCTAATACAAATGGCGCTGCATCTACTCCAGCGCGCTCACGCGCATGGTGAGTAAACAAGCAACTTTTGTGCCCGTTGTCAGCTTTCGATCGGAGAAGGAGAAAAAATGTTTTGATGCTACCCGAGCCGTAAGTAACCTTTTTCGGAACTACAGCTTAAAACGAAAAATTTTTGCTGGGGGATTCATTAAAAATGTTATGCTTACCTATGAAGCGAAAAACTCGGCTTTGCCTCGGCCGATAATTACACGTGCTCTGAGACGTTGCAGTTTTTCGCTCTCCTGGTACGTAATCTACTATTATTTGCTTGATATTTAACCCAGAATTATTAAACGGTCAAGTGATGAAAAAACATAATTTTTAAATCTATTGGTATTCACAAAAATAGTATCTTTTTTGTCACTCACGCAAGAATTGCATACGATATTTTTTGAACGTAACGTGAGTAAAACGTGGCTTTTATGTCACTAAAAAGTTAAAAAGAACCCTGTCTTACGCGCGACGTGTTGAAAAAAAAACGTTTTTAAAAAGTTGGAAAAAAGTTACAAAAAAACGTTTACTAAACGTTAAAATTACGTTGAAGTAACGTTTCTGCTTTTAAAAAATTTCTTTGGTAAACGTTTATCAAACGTTCCTTAAACCTTTATCAAACGTTCCTTAAACGTTTATTAAACGTTTATTAAACGTTTATTGAACGTTCCTACCCCATAGGATACAATTTTTGGGCGGACATTTTAACGTTTCTGAAACGTTTCTGAAACGTTAATCCAACTTTTTTCAAGAACGTTATAAGGTTCCAAATTTAACCTTGAGGAAACGTTATAAAAACGTTCTGTGTTATTAGGGTTATCATACAAAATCCCACAAGATATCCCATATGCTGTCCCGGTTCAAAAACTCATATGCGCTCCCATATGATTTCCCATATGATTTTCCGATTCGGAAAAATGTAGTATGGGAAAACTTTTGCCTGCATCCAGACATATTTGTTATATATCACAAACAAAGAATTGATGATAAACAAGAAATTATGATATAAAATTGATGGTATGAGATTATACACAATTTACTCTAATCAATTTTTTCTTTCAAAATAACTTTTATTCATTAATAAGTATTAAAATTATTACAATTTTTTAGGTTACATAAGTAAATCGTTCATTTTTATTAATAGTAACATACGAAGAAATATCTTTTATATCCTATGAACATTAGAAAATTAGAACATAAATTAGTAGAACGTAATTAGAACAGTAAATCATGCATTTATTACTATGGAACACTTAAACACTAATATTAAATAGTAAGATTTTTTTGAGCAATTTTTTTGTGTTGCACTCCAAATAATTGCTGTGAACAACTACATTTGTAAGTTAATTTTATACAGTAGTTTTCCCGGAAAACAGGATCAAAATTTCGAATTTCTGTCATAACTTTTCATTAATAATAATTTTTCATTAATAATAACTGTTTTCTGAGAAAACTACCAAAGCAACTGGCTAAAATTCAGAATGGCTGCTCATAGCTATAAAAATTGATAGATCGAGCGAGCTTGCGCAGCAAGCGAAGCTCGATCATAATTGTGTGAGCTTGCTCGTCCGAATAGATCAATCAGGTAGTGACGTCAGTCTGCTAGTTCCATGCCACAGAGTTTAAATATTAGAGACTTTTCGCGCCTCCTAGGTGTCGCTGCGCCCAGCTCCGCATCGTGTCGGTGCGTGCGCGGCGTTATCGTCATTAATTTGAAAGCGTTTCCTAAATCACAACAATTATGGGTTGGGAAATTATCGTTTGGG